CTCCGTGGTATAATTCTCAAACACGTAGCCTAAAGCAGACGACTCGTAAGCTGGAGAGTCACAAATTTAGAGGATCATCATTTAGTCTGGAGAAATAGCTTTATAAGAAAGCCTTCCATAGAGCTTGAACATCTTACTATTCATCCCTGATTGAAGAAAATAAGAACAACCCCAGGTTTCTCTTCAGCTCTGTAGCCAGGCTGACAAACAGTCAGAGCTCTGTTGAGTCAACCATCCCTTTAACGTTAACTAGTAATGACTTCATTTATCATTAGAGAAAAAATTACCAGTAATCATCCCACAGATGTAATATTATCTACAGCTACTCTTAGTACCATTGATGTTAAGTTAGACTCTTTTTCTCCAATTGATCTTTCTTAGTTAACTTCAATAATTACTTCCTCCAAACCATCAACGTGTCTTTTAGACCCCATTCCTACAAAACTGCTCAAAGAAGTCCTCCCATTAATTAATTCTTCGATCTTAAATATGATCAACCTATCTCTAATAATTGGCTATGTATATATAAAGTGGAACCCTGACTTACGAACACCCCATTTAACAAAAAATTCATGTCCAAAAGTCTCCTTCTATTTCAGTCACATAGTTATAAGTGAACTCACTGGAAATATCTGCCGATAAGTTCCACTTTGTTCTTACTGTTTGCTGCGGTGATGACCTCACATGCTTTTATGACGGTCCTGCCGTATCACGAGTCCTGGGAGCACTAGGCATGTTTTTCTCCATGGTCGTGTCCAAATTCCTGGGCTGCGTCCTCCTGAGGCCGCATTTGTAGACCGATTACGTCACAGCGACGCGCTGAAGGCTGTCCAAATTCGTAGACTCCTCCGAATGCAGCCGACAAATGCGTCCTCCTTTTCCCCGAATTTGAAGGATGGGTCGGGTGTGTCCTTCGTGGCCCACCATATCCCAGAATTCATAGCGTGGCCCAGCCAAACTCCAGTTTCCAACGATGGCGGCCGCTACTAAGTTTTAATATTACTCTTATGAATCTTTCTGGGTCACAAAATAAACTTTTAACACATTTTCAGGCGAGAATGTAACTGTGTAAACTTCAAATATCTGCTCGGTTTATCAAGATATCGCATATTTGCAGAAGTGCTTCGACGTTTTTGGAGACGTCTGTTACCCACCAGCTTGATAGCTAGCCGGGAGCTCGAGGGTTACTGGAGCCGCCAAAAACGGCACAACTCCCGGCACATCACTTTCAGATCACCGCGGACTTTCGCTACTCAGGTTAAACGTGATATATAAGTCACTTAGACAACCTAAAAATGTTATTGTTGGGCTTTTTTCAGTGTTTTATTTGTTCGTGAGTAAATCGGTTTGGCTGAAATTAAAGTTATTACATTAGATAAAATAAAACTTTATTAATCCCCGGGTGGGTTCTTCCTTGGTGTTTACACCAAGGAAAAACAAAAAAGGCACCAGGGCGGAGACGGCCGCTCACCGATTGTTGAACATAAAGCAGGGGAAGTCGAGTATGGCGGAGTACTCGGTCGAGTTTTGGACGTTGGCTGAAGAAACCGGGTGGGGGCAGTCGGCACTGATGATTACCCTGTTGAATAATGTTTGCGATGAACTGAAAAATGAACTAATGATGAGGGATGTACTTAAGACTCTCTCTGATGTGATTACACTGTGTGTGAAGGTAGACGAGCGCCTACGAGCACATCAGGGAACTGGAAACTACATTACCCAGAGGCCTCTGGGACGCACGGAGATGGCTCCTGTTCACGGTCTCCTCCACGGCTCATGATTGCAGCAAAATTAACTGTGCAACTCAAGACTCATTCTCTTAGGGCTCTGATTGACTCTGGGGCAGAACAGAACTTTATTGACGCCTTGCTGGTGCTTAAGTTAAATTTTAGCATGGAGCCTCTGCCGCATTCACTTCAAGTTACAGAGCTTAGTGGTCAGCGTCTCCCAGACATCACTCATATCACAGAACCTGTTTCCCTGACTCTCTCTGGTAAGAACTCTGAAGCCATACAGTTGTATGTGTTCAAAGCTCCTCTCACGCCGCTAGTCTTTGGTTATCCCTGGCTACATCAACATAACCCTGTGATTGACTGGAAGAAGGAGAGTATCCTGAGGTGGGGAGAAGAATGTCACATGTCCTGCTTAAAGGCCGCCACACCTTCCGTGGACCCGCTAACCAATTTCCCGCTCTCCGAGCCGCCAGACCTCTCCTCCGTACCGCCTATTTACCATGACCTTAAGCAAGTGTGTAAGGATAGGGCACGTTCGCTTCCCCCTCACCGGCCATATGATTGCGGGATTGACCTTCTACCGGCCACACCACTCACGACCAGTCACTTATCCAGCCTGTCTCAGCCTGAGCGTGAGAGCATGGACAAGTACATCAATGAGTCACATACAGCAGCTCCGCATTCGAGCTTCTCCAGGGGGCCACCATCTTCATTAAGTTGGACCTGTGCAACGCCCACCATCTGGTAAGAATAAGAGAAAGGGACGAGTGGAAAACAGCCTTTAACACTCACCTCAGCCATTTTGAATATCTTGTTATGCCGTTTGGTCTCACCAATGCTCCAGCTGTTTTTCAGGCCCTTGTGAACGACGTGCTCCGGGACTTCATCAACCTCTTTGTCTACCTGGATGACATCCTCATCTTCTCCCGCTCCATCACCGAACACCACCGCCATGTCAGGCAAGTTCTTCAACCCCTCTTGAGAACCATCTCTTCGTAAAAGGGAAGAAGTGCGAGTTCCATGTCACTACTGTTTCCTTCCTGGGCTACGTCATCGAACAAGGTAATCTCAAAGCTGACCCTGTTCAAGCAGTTGTTAACTGGCTGACCCCGTCTAACCGTAAGCAACTCCAAAGTTTTCTGGGATTTGCAAACTTCTACCAACGTTTCATCTGCGACTACAGTAAACTTGCCTTGCCACTGAATCGTCTCATTTTACCCAAGGTTCCTTTCTGCTGGGATGAACCGACTCGACAGGCCTTCACTCACCTGAAAGAACGCTTTGCCTCGGCACCCATCCTCGTCCAACACAACCTCAGCCAACAGTTCATCGTGTAGGTGGACGCCTCAGATGTGGGAGTGGGGCAGTGATCTCCCAGCAACAAGGCGGTAAGCTTCATCCATGTGCTTACTTGTCTCACGCCTCTCCCCCGCAGAGAGAAACTATGACGTGGGAGATCGAGAACTACTGGCCATCAAGCTCGCCCTGGAAGAGTGGCATCACTGGCTGGAGGGCGCTACCCGGCTATTTGTGACGTGGACTGACCACAAGAACTTGGAGTACATTCGGTCGGCTAAACAACTCAACGCCAGGCAAGCCAGGTGGGCCCTGTTCTTTACCAGATTTACCAGGTTCCAGTAATGTCAAGCCTAACGCTCTCTCACGCCAATTCACCGCCTCCGAAGACACAGCTCAGGACTCCCCCATTCTTCCTCCCACGTGTGTTATTGGGGCCCTGACCTGGGAGATCGAGTTGGCGATTAGAGAGGCTCAACAGACTGAACCAGATCTCGGAACGGGCCCTCCAGGGCTACTCTTCATCCCCTCGTCAGTAAGGTCACGAGTGCTACATTGGGCTCACACTGCCAAGTTCACCTGTCACCCTGGGGTCCACCGCACAATCACCTTTCTTCAACGCTTCGCTTGGTGACCATCTCTCGCTAAGGATGTCCGCAAATACACTGCCGCCTGCCGAACCTGCGCTCAGAACAAAAATGTCCATCAACCATTTTTCGGTCTCCTCCAGCCTCCAAGCCGCTCCTGGTTACACATTGCTGTTGATTTCATCACTGGTCTGCCCACCTCGTCTGGTAACTCAGTCATCCTCACCATTATCGATCGCTTCTCTAAAGCTGCTCATTTAGTCGCCCTCCCTAAGCTCCCCACTGCACTAGAGACCGCCTGGCTCCTGACTAACCACGTTTTTCGCCTCCATGGAATCCCCGCGGACATCGTTTCAGACGGGGCCGCAGTTTACGTCACGTGTCTGGAAGGAACTCTACAACGCCGTTGAGCTTAGGTCAGTCTCTCCTCCGGTTTCGCACAGTTAGAGGTTGAGCTCTCCGTTTGGCTGCAGGGTCCCTTCATTCTTCACATATCCATGTCGAGCCGAGTGTAAATCCCGAGGCTGGACAGCCTTTGTACGAGCACACATGCATCACTTTATTAAAGTGCAATTCGAAAAAGGTTCTTGAAATTGTTTTTAAAAATCAGTTTATTAACGTGGAATTCAAAAATGAATTTACAAATGCAGAATTTATTCTAAAATTCATTATTTAAGCAATGAAGTCTTTATTTCGATGCGCGTGGCTCTTGTGGTCCTCCATGAAAAAACTAGTTTATGCATTTATTACTTCTAAGCTGGACTACTGTAATTCAGTATTATCAGGATGTCCATGTGCTCTTCACTTCTCCTTACCAACCAAATCTCACAAACATGGATCCTGTTTAATCCTTCACGGCTCAAATTCAACAAAGAGCTGGAGAGAGAAGGTAATCAGAGAACTAGGAATATGTTTATTTCATTTTCAGTTCGAGTGAAGCTGCGACAGTAATACACAGATGAGGCATCACGCTGTCGTCAACCATTTCTTTAACAAAATAAAAGCATCTGCATGGAGCCGAATGCACAACAGCAGAAACAGCAGCTCCTCCTCGCACATAAACATCTTTAATCTCCTTGAGTAAAAAAATAAATTACCTCAGGCCAACGAACAGTCAATGTGACATCAGAACAAACTCAGCTGTTTTATTTCTCACCAATATTTACAATAAATATCAGCAACAGCTGCTTCTACAATCTGTTTAACATAAAACATCAAGAACTGGATAAAAATAAAAAACAGCAGATTTTACTGCAACAAATAAAGATACAACAAATATTTGGCATTTTTACACAAAAATAAATAAAATAATTTAATTGTCCTGCCTGCCGATTTTATTCATTTAAATTTGGTTGAAAAGAACAGATGGCTGAACAACAACAACAACAACAACAACAACAACAACAACAACAACAACAACAAAATATGCACACAAAAAGAATATTCAGAGCCAACTCCCAGAATGCACTGCTGCTGAATTAAGCGAAATAAAGAGCTCTGCTCACGCGTGTCCTGTTTCGATATTAAGTTTTGATCTTCTGTTTCATTTTGTCTTTTGGTCAGACGTTTTGTTTTAAAGAGAATTAATTTGTTGCTTTGTTGCCAGAACATGAAGAGAATCTGAAAATAAGATTTAAATGTTTCTGATACACAAACACCACGTCAGGTTTGTCATGAGGAGCTCCCATCACAGCCAATCACACGAAAGAATCTGAAGACTCGCTCTCTGAATCTCTTCAGGGTTCATAGTTCACCAACATCAGAGTGAGGCAGCTGCTGCTCTGATTCACACATGACAGGATGTGATGTCATCAACAGTAAGCAGGTACGAGCAGGCGGTGCTACACCAGGCGGCGAATCAGGTTGTTCTTCTCGGGCTCCAGGAACTCATCCACCAGGGCAGCGGTGACCTTCCTGAGCTCCTCCTCCAGGGTGGACACCTCGCTGCAACACAGAGAGGGTGATGATGTCACAGAGGCCCCGCCCACACATGAGGTCACACATGAAGTTTGTTAGAGTGACATTAGGACCTGACGTAATTATTCTTGGACTTTATCCTGTATGCTCTAAATAAATTTGGTGCTTTTTTAACAAACGTCGCAGTTCCATCAAACTTTCTTGTGGTACACGTTTCTCTGAAACGTCGTCTTTTCCTGTTAGCAGCAGTTATTGAGCTCACAGATCAGAGCCAGTTCAGCACTGCAGGGAAAGAAAGCTCCATCAGTCAGCTGGCAGACCACAATTCAGATCAGTGTTATTTATTCACACCTCTGATGAAGTCTCACATGTATCAGTGCTGATAAATGATCAGAATTATAATATTTCTGACTGTTTGAGGCAAAATTGAATCGAGTCGAATGGATTATAGAAATCAGTGATGATACTCAGCCCTCGTGAGCAGCCCAGGCCCGACAGAAGTGCCAAAGAGGGTCAAAGCACTTTAGGCACAAACACTTTTTCAGTCACGAGTGTTTCTTGTAGAACTGAGCTCCAAATAAAGAACTTTGTGTTGACAAGTTTGTTAGTTGATCATTTACAAATCAACAGCAAAAAAAGTACACATGTAAAACTGTGGTGTTCAGCGATGCGGGTGAAACATTTGGGTGCGCCGACCTTTTTTTGCACTGCGCACCAGCAAAAAGTTAGTCTAGAGCCTGCGCTAACATTTCATCTCCATCACAGACAAACAGAAACGAGGAGCCGACCTCTGCCCCGGCACCGCGCAGAACTCTGTGTAGTACTTGATCTTCGGTTCGGTGCCGCTTGTCCTCAGCGTGGCCACGATGCCGTTCTGCAGCGTGAAGGTGATCATGTGACTGCTCCTGGACACAGGAAGAACCTGTACGGGAGAACACACCTGAACACACCTGAACTGAACAGGAGGAACTCGAGGAAGAACAAAACGGCATCTCACAGATCTGAGGTCTGGCTGACTGCTGTCGTATCCCGTGGTAACGTCTCTGACATGAACGATCTGGACGCCGCCGCACGTCTTCGGGTACGAGCCGCTGCCGTCAAAGTTTCTGATGCGGCTGAAGATCCTCTGGATGGTGGGAGGGTCGTTACAGACGACGTAGGAGGTTTTAGACAGGTGATACCCGTACCTACAGACAGGAAGTCACACTGAGGATGACTGTCAAAATAAGAGCAGAGCACATTTTTCTGTCCAATGTAGTTTTAGTAGAAGTTTTGTCGAGATGTTTTTCAAAGGATTACAGTGGTCCCTCGCTATAACGCGGTTCACCTATCATGGGCTCGCTGTTGCAGATTTTTTTTTTTTGCAATTTTGCTTTCTTTGTTTTGTTTTTTTACAGCACATTGTGTTCTGCATCCTGATTGGCTGTACACTTCCTGTTAAATCCAGAATTCAAAATCCTGCTCCTCATATACAAGGTCTTAAATAATCAGGCCCCATCTTATCTGAATGACCCTGTAGTACCATATCACCCGATGCATTGAGTGTTTCCTTTCCAGTCACCTTTCTCACTCACTATGTATTAACAGACCTCTCTGCATTGAATCATATCTGTTATTAGCCTCTGTCTCTCTTCCACAGCATGTCTTTCATCCTGTTTTCCGTCTCTCACCCCAACCAATCACAGCAGATGGCCCCGCCCCTCCCTGAGCCTGGTTCTGCCGGAGGTTTCTTCCTGTTAAAAGGGAGTTTTTCCTTCGCACTGTTGCCCAAAGTGCTGCTCATAGGGGGTCATATGATTGTTGGGTTTCTCTCTGTATGTGTTATTGTAGGGTCGACCGTACAGTATAAAGTGTCTTCAGGGAACTGTTGTTGTGATTTGGCGCTGTGTAAATAAAATAGAATTGAATTGATTTGGTGTGTGAGGACCAAACTGTGCATGGGCATTAAGGGACACGCAATAAAGTCCAGCATAGAATCTTTTTCACTTGAAGCGGGTCAGTAAACGTCACACAGCTCGACATTAAATGACAAGTTGTGATCGTGATGTTAGAGCGGTGCCCTGCAGTCTTACGTCTGGTAGATGTTGTGCAGCTGTTGGCTCAGACTTAGGTGCTTGTTGTGAAGGTAAGCGGCCATTTCAGCCACGACCGCCGCCGAGCTCACGCCGTCCTTATCCAGGACTGTGTCCCCACAGAGGAACCCTGAAGAGATGAAGGGACACCTGACAGTTTCCCTTCCAATAATCCTTTAAACACAGAATGAATTCAGTTCTCCAATAATCATCAAAGGGCCTTTATACTGTAGAGGACTGTGCAGCAACACAGGTAGCTGCTCTGTGCTGGTGCAGGGCACTGAAGATGATCACAGTGGGTGTATTATCCTTGAACTGTGATGAAGTCTACTCCCCACTGCTGTGTAATCAGATACTTTAAATTTAAATCAGACAGGAGAGTTTCCAGGAAACACCGCTAACTGTTCAGTTTCTACGCCAAACGTCACAGCGAACTTAGTTACCGATGGACTCCTCGAAGGAGAAGATGACTCTGCTTCCTGTTTGGGACAGCTCGTGGATTCTATTCCCGACCCATTTAAAGCCTGGCAGAGTTTCCTGTTGAACACAGAGTAACCATCATCGTCTGACTTCCACACACTGGTGTGCTCACTAATGCCTGAGCGTCTGACCTCAAAGTGGAACCCCTCGATGCGAGCGAAGGCCTGCAGGATCTTCGAGGACACCGTGGTCGCCAACATGTAAATGCTCCGAGCGTCTGCTGGTTCAGAGTGGTTCTCCTTCCACGTGAAGAACATCCACCAGCCCAGCAGGGCTGCCAGCTCGTTACCTGTGAACACCTTCCAGCCACACCTGAAACACAGGGCGATACAGGTGAACCTGCAGCGCTGCCAAATACTTTCAGCTCTGAAGTGCCTTTGAGCAAACATACCCGTCAGACTTCTCTGCTACAGCCAGCCGGTCAGCATCAGGATCTGTCGCCAGGACGACGCGGGCGTTTTCCCGCTCTGCCAGAAGGAGAGAAAGTTCCTGGAAAACAAGACATCGGATAAGCGAACGACAGGATTCGGTCATTTGTGAGCAAACGAGACGGGAACCCGACCCACCAGCACGGACTCTCCCTCCTCTGGGTTGGGACAGCGCACCGAGGAGAAGTTGGGGTCGGGGTCTTTCTGCTCCGGGACGGCGATCGGTGGAGGGAAGCCGAACACCCGGAAGGCCTGCTGCACGAAGGCGTGGCCGACGCCGTGGAAGGAGGAGTGGACGAACTTCAGCGGGGAGCTGCTGTTCAGGTCCCTGAGACGCATCAGGAAACATGCTCTAACGTTGGTGCTCGGGGTCATTTTAAAGGTCAAAGTTCAACATTTTCTGACGTCCTTATACGTTCACATCCTGGCAGAACATCAGGGGAACGTGTCACTCTTACCGCAGGTTCACTAACTTTTTTTTTAACGACACAAACAATCACGCCGTGAAACAAAAAAGATCAGGTCAGACCACCTCACTGTGACATCACCACATCCAAGCCAACAACGCCAACGATAGCGTCACTGATTTGTCACTTAACCCTTTACAGCCGATCGGAGCGGGAACGCTCTGTTATGCGTAACTATTTTTAAATCCCAGTAGCACTGCAACCACGT